AAAAATGTATTTTAAAAAACCTAAGCAGAAATTTGGTGAAGGACATGAGCAGATAAGTCACACACTCTAAAGAAACACACGCGGCTAATAAGTACATTCCAAGATGTGGCCAGGGAGGGGGACTGGGGCTGGCCCTCCGCTCCTGTCTGAGGACCCAGCGGCTGGCTCCGTAGCTTGCCTGGTTCCTGGTTGCAGGTGGGTCAGGGCTGAGGCCCAAAGCGCCCATCTCAGGACCTAGGGTGGCTGGCTCACTTGCTTCAGGGTCAGGAGTTTTCAAACAATTATTTCAGAGATATACTGCAAGAAGGAAACTCCCTGTCCTTAGCTCATACCACTTCTCGCCTCCAGAAGTCTGAAAAGTCATAAAGAAAGAAGGAGAGACAGAGACAAGAGTCAGGAGGAGAGTGAGCACCCAGTTTTTTAACATGGGATCTGTTGTTTAAAAGGCTCTAGAAAAGTCTTTCCACATATACAGCCTAGAAATATTTACTTCCTGCCTTTGACTTCCGTCAATTTTCTTCCTGCCACTATTTCATTTGATTTTATTCTCTGTGGTTTGCAACCCAAAATCTCTAGTCCAAGCTTCTATTTTATACTTACTTTGGAACCTATGAAATTCTCATCCTTCTCTCCAATTTAACCCACTTGACTGAAATACTTTTTAAATTTCCCCCTTGCTGATTATTCCCATTGCCATCACCCTTGGGTTTTCAAGTATTTATATTAGCACGTTAAGTACGCCTGCTCTATTTACTTTGTCCTTCATATTCATCCACTTTTGGGGCCTTTGGGTTCAGACCTTCTGAAGCTCAGAAAAAGTCCTGGGGACTTTGGCAATGTTTTAGACTTTCCACAGGCACTCACACTTCTTATTCCCTACCTCCCTGATACATGTTTCTACCTAATCTTTCCCTCTTCCTATATGTTCTGAGAAGAGCTGACAGTTGTACTCTCCTGAAATGTGAATCTGATCTTTTATTTCCCGTTCCCCTCTTCCACTTTCCCTGAACATCAGTTCTATATACTGATGTGTATTTCTATCAGTCTTTTTATCGAATTTCTCCTGCCTGCTGCAGGCAGGAAAATCTCCTTTCTGGATCTGTAACACATTGCTTCCCTCCCTTGCATGATTAANCTGAAATGTGAATCTGATCTTTTATTTCCCGTTCCCCTCTTCCACTTTCCCTGAACATCAGTTCTATATACTGATGTGTATTTCTGTCAGTCTTTCTATCTAATTTCTCCTGCCTGCTCCAGGCAGGAAAATCTCCTTTCTGGATCTGTAACACATTGCTTCCCTCCCTTGCATGATTAAACATGCCTTCTTTGCTTCTAGGTTCTGTTTTCTCCCTGCATAGCTTTCCTGCAAGTTACATTATCTCTGTCTTCTTCAACTAATTTTGTACTTACTACTGAGCCACACACTACCTATTCACTAAGCTCTGTTATCCTGGTCTCGAATAGTGCAATAGCTAGCACTGTGTTTTATCAGAATATGGCAGTTGGTTTACTATTCTTTTGCCCTCTAATTGTTTCCAGCACGGGTCTTGCCTCTCCAACCAGACAGTGAATTCCCTGTGAGAAGGGGCACTGTGTCAGAACCTCTTATATCCCTTAATTCCTAATACGAAGTCGGGTAATTGATTGTGACTTCTGACTTTTACCATCCTCATTTACACTGGTTGGCAAAGAACTAAATATTTAGTAAAACTAGTTTAATAAGGTAATTGAGAGCAGAAGGAGCTCTCCTGTATCTCTAGCTTACAAAGGCTGAGTTTGTTCATAAATATATAGTTAATATTTAATGGATGCTCACTCACCTGACTATTCTGCTTCATGAACTATAATATTGAACTGTCCACAGTTCAGACAATTCCCACCACTCTCATCGCTACCACCTCGGCCCAAGCCAGCATCATGTCTCACCTGGATTTCTGCAGTGGCATCCTATCAAGTCTCCCTGTTTCCATCCTTACAAAACACTCCTCTGCTCAGAACATCTCAATGGCTTCTCACCTCACACAGAATAAAAGTTAAAGTCCTTTCACTGGCCCACAAGAACTTGCATGGATTGGTACCCCCTACATTCCAACCGCATCTCCTGTTACTCTCCCCTCAATCCCCCCTCTTTAACCACACTACCTTGTTACTGCCCACTATGGCCCACTATGGGGCCTTTGCACAGGCTTTTCCTAATACGTTCTTCCCATCGCTGTCCTCATGCCTGACTCCTACCTCTCTTTCAAGGCCTTGTTCAAATGCCTCCCTCTCATCAAGGCTACTTTAATGGCTCAATTCTAAATTGCAAACTTCCACGCCTTAGCAATCTTTATTCTCCTCCCTATTTTCTTTCCATAGAATTTAACACTGTGGCTATCCTGAGAAAGTGCCTCTCAGACATCCAACCTCAGGTGTATAGTCGACCAAGGATCCCACCTGTTGCTCTCTGACATCCATCCCTGTGCTTGCATCAAGGCCATGCTTCCCAGGGGCTACTCGCAGCCAATGACTGAGCACAGCAGGAATACTACAGTAGGTTCAGTCCTGGGGGACACGGGACCACTCTGGTAGCTGACTTTGGCTCCAGAAATCTCTGAGGGCCTTGCCAATTTCCCTCACACTGCACTGCAGATTAGGATGGTCCCTCTCTCTCTCTCACTCGGAGCTCCCAGACTTCCCCAGCTCCAGCCCCTTTTACCTACCTCCCATTTTCTCTTACATAGTCATTTCCCCTAATAAAATCCCGAACATTTAACCCCCCTTGTCATTTGTTTCTCAGAGGACACGGATTAAAATAATTACCTTCTTACCTACTATATTTTGCTTACTTATTATATTTATCTTCTCTTGCCTACCAGAATATGTTCTGAGACAGCAGAAATTTTGCTTATCCATGTATCCCAAATACCTAGTACAATGCCTGACACATCACAGATGTTCAATAAATATGTGCAGAACGAATTAATGATGAATGCTTTAAAAAATCAGCAATTATTAGCATTATCAACTAAATAAATGAATAAACACACAATGGTTCCAACCAATTGTTATAACTTCACTCCCTACTAAATTCCCCAATGCTCTTATTTTGTCTAGTCCTCCACTACACTATCAGAAATGAGATTTTAGAGGTAAATTGTTTTTAGGAAAAGATCCAGCCTAATAATTGGATGACTTCCCATCTGTTCTGGGCAGCAAATATACAATTCCGACTGAGATATTTATCACTACTTCTTTCTTGTCTTTAATTTCAGCCAGGATCTGCAGATAAACAGAATCAAAAGTTTTGAAGGTTTGATTTTTTTTTTAAGCTTAAATGTACATCCAATAATAATCAAACTTGGCCCACACCTAATCAATTCTCCTATTCTCTAGTCTCCATAAATATCTCTTTTGAGGATGTATGAGCAAGAATAAACTACTCTCAAGTATGACTTCAGACTCTTGAAACTGGTGACTGACTTGGATGCAGGTTCTATGGCTGCAGAGCTCCGAATGACAATATGGGGAAATATATTTCACGAGGGCCAATAAGTTTCTGCAGAGGAGATTCCCACAGGGTCTGCCTGGATGTATGAGCAAGAATAAACTACTCTCAAGTATGACTTCAGACTCTTGAAACTGGTGACTGTCTTGGATGCAAGTTCTATGGCTGCAGATCTCCGAATGACAATATGGGGAAATATATTTCACGAGGGCCAATAAGTTTCTGCAGAGGAGATTCCCACAGGGTCTGCCTAAGGGTTTTACACCTCCCCATAAGTGTTCTAGGTGCTAGCTGGAGGAGGAGGTTGGGGACCAAGTCTCTCTCCTAAAGACAGACTGATTTAACCTGCAGCCTGTGCCCTCCTTGCCCTGTGTCCTTGGGCAGACCTTGACGAATGGCTGTTACAGCTGTCAGCTGAGATTTCAACCCTGGCTTTGCTACTTTGTTATCTGTGTGGCAAATTATCTCTCTGAGCCTGTTTCCTCATTTTTAAAATAGGGATAATAGCACCTATCTCTCAGCACCTTGTAAGATAAATATGATTAACACATTTGCCTACAAAGAGTATTCAAAAAATATTAGCTATTATTACTAATATCAAAAATGCAAAGGTAATTAAACCATACGTTCAATGTTTGGGTTGTCCTTTTAACCTCTCCAGCTGAACGTTGATATGAAGGTGCTTAATAGCCTCCAAACACATAATAATAAGGTAGATGGTAATTAGAGTTTACTACATCAAAATTTAATTAAAGAACTGGTAGGGGAGAGAACACAGACAAAGTCAACTGTAAAGCTTCCCAGTTTCTTCTTTGACCTGAGAGTTTCACCCGGCTTGACTGCTTTTTCTAAAGAACAAGGGAATATCCACGTAGTGCTGGCTGCCGGCGGTTACAGAACATCTCATCCCATTTTCAAAGGCTCACTCCTTTCTCTTGCGTAACTGGTGAGGTCAAAACGGGCACCTTCCCGCAAGCCAAGAGTGTCATTTCTGAACGAGGTCCAAGAAAAGAACTGCATTCCATAGAAATCCAAGTCAAGCAATAACAGAGGGTGGTACGTGACATTTAAACCACACGGAATACTCCTGGTGGGCCAACTTCTTAATATAGTCACATTAGCACCTTTGATTTCTCCATGACCTAAAGATTCCAAAGTTTGCAATAAACTGCCGGGGTCGGGGCTAGCGCAGAGCTTGGGGAAGGGAAGGGACAACCTGATGTAAATTTACCACTATGTGAAGTCCTAAAGTAACTATAGAATTTTCTATTATTATCTAAAGCCAGTCAGAGGAAGAAAGGCAAACAAGTGACTTGGCACCTCTGACCCAGTCAAGGTGAGGCTGCCTCTCTGTAAGCTCCAGAGCAAGAGTGCAGATAAACCAACGTCATACACACACACACAGACCCACACATGCAGGGACGGCTGTGCGTTGCCAGAGCAGAGGCTGATTAAACACTCAGCACGTTGGCTCCCTGTGCCACTCCTGGAAAATAATGAATTGGATAAAGAACAGTTAATAAGAAAATGTGCCTTGCTAACTGTGCACATTACAACAAAGAGCTGGCAGCTCCCGAAGGAAAAGGGCTTGTGCTGCTGCCGTTCAAACTTGTCAGTCAACTCGTGCCAGCAGCCTCAGCGTCTGCCTCCCCAGCACTCCCTCATTACATGTGTCTGTCTGGCCTGATCTGTGCATCTGCTCAGAGACGCTCCTGACAAGTCGGGAATTTCTCCATTTCTCCACTACTGCGGAGTGGATTTCTGCCTGCTTCTCTTCTGTCACTCCTGCTCCTCTCCCCAAGGAGCCTCCTTGATTTATGGTAGCTTTGGACTTCCTTCACCGTCTGCCTGTCCTTGACTTCTAGAATGGAAGAAGCTGAGCTGGTGAAAGGGAGACTCCAGGCCATCACAGTAAGTCTTCATACACTTGTAACTCAATGAGGTGGTTGCTTAGACGAACAGCAGACCCGTTGCTAGCTGCTCCTGTGGCTGAGCCCCCGTAAGTGAAAGAACAGAACAATCAGCCTTTATGGCTATGTCTCTGCTTCCCTCTTAACCCTTCTGACCCTTTGTAACACTTGTGCTCAGAACCTGAGTTCAGGGCAAATGTTCTTGATTTTTAAAAAGATCATGCCTACATTTTCCAAAGCAATCAAAAGCTTTTAGGGCAGTTTGGTTAACTATCATTCACCTTCCATGTACCTTAAAAATGCAGTTTTTCTTTAAATTGGTATACGCAGAATTAGATCAAAAAACAAATCCCTAACTTGGAAACTTTTTTAAGCAACGAGTGCATCAAAAGTTTGAATATTTTATAAGGGAGACAGAAAAAGAAACAACTTGAAACTTTTCATTCACAGTGTGGTAGTATGTTCCAGAAAGCCTAACAGAATTAAAATGAATGTTGGTATATTTCAGCTAAGCATTAAACAAGAGAAAAGTAGGTAAAAGCACGTATCAGATTAATTCTAAGATATCGGTTTCCAGCAGAGTCACAGAGTAAGATCCTGATAAAGGAATGCAGTGTGTGCAGTGGATTTGGAAAATATTTTCTTAATACCAGGAAGGAAAATAGTGCATTTTTTGTTTGTTCTGGGAAAGAGTCAAAGCAAGAAATGAATTACTCCTCTTAAAAGATCCAACTTTTTTTTCTAATTTTATAAAACTCTGTATTTGGCAGTAACCTGGAAATCTGTGGCATAGTCATTTATCATTAGCTATAACTTTTGATATAATTCTGTTCTGGGAAAGAGTCAAAGCAAGAAATGAATTACTCCTCTTAAAAGATCCAACTTTTTTTCTAATTTTATAAAACTCTGTATTTGGCAGTAACCTGGAAATCTGTGGCATAGTCATTTATCATTAGCTATAACTTTTGATATAATTCTTTTTAAGAAAAAAAATCTTTGGAAATCACCATCCCAATTTCTCAGCATTTTATGTCACTGAAATTAGCTGTCAGGAAGAAATGAGTACTATTTGAAAATTGATGCTAAATCAGGGTGGGTAAAAGGCTATTTTTTTTTTCTCTTCAAATTCTCATAGCATAACTAATAAGGCTAGTCAAAATTTAGGACTTTTGTTAAATGAGTACAACATTTCACTTCCACCCAGAAAGGATTTAATAAGTTGAAATGTTTTCTTAGCCAATAGTATAAAACCAGAAGTCTATTGATTAGGTTGGCACTTTTCTATAAGACAATGCTTTTTTCAAATGTCTAACTACTGATTATTATATTTTCCTTTCTTCAGAAAATCTTGGTCTAGATTGTTGTTTGTTTTGTTTTGTTCTTTTTTGTTGTTAAACTCAGCCACTGTTCAGCTGTCCTGCTTTAAGGGACAGGAACTGGGCTCTGCTCTGTTGTTTTTGGCATGGGCTTTTCACATTACAGCTGTTGTCTAAAGGTTACTTTACTAGACTGTGTGAGTTGTGTGGGTTCCACTTTTTCTAATGCTTCCAACTCCTAATTAACTAAAAGAAAAACACAAGTACACCTTTGTTCTGCATTTTCCTTTTTAATTTGGGGCACACCCTTGCTGAACCCCTTATTATCTCAAGTGCACCTTATTCTCACTGAAGCAACACATGTTCCAAAGATACAGCTGCATACAGTTATTCTGGAAGACTAGACATTTTCACTGAGGTTTCCAAATGCAAACAGAGATAGAATAAGTCATAATGCCTTAAAAGCAGACAAGAGAGTAAGTAGGTTCCTGAATATACAAATGTATGCTTTTTTTGATGATTTTTTAAAAAGCTACTTTTTGAATTATTCCATGAGCCTAAACATATCCCACTAGAAATATTTAAGCAAATCTCTAAAGTAGGATCACAAAGTAATTCTAGCTTGAAAGTAATATACTTGTATAAATGTTGTAGGGAAAAAAAATTAGAAAAAGCTTGTGGGAGCAAACTTCCACTAGCCTATACCTCACCAGGCTAAATGCAGTCATAAAGTAGGATCACAAAGTAATTCTAGCTTGAAAGTAATATACTTGTATAAATGTTGTAGGGGAAAAAAATTAGAAAAAGCTTGTGGGAGCAAACTTCCACTAGCCTATACCTCACCAGGCTAAATGCAGTCACATTTGTCACCACCTCGAGAAAAAATGGAACAGTGGTGTGTCCATGGAAACAACACATCCACTCTCCTCTCTCTTGGACACCCTGGGAAATGCCAGCTTTCTCCGCCCTTGCCTTACCCAGGAAGCCACTGAAGCTATTCTCCTTTCCCTGGGAAAGTGAAATCACATAGTATCCAGAGAGTGTGCAAAGATTATTTCATTTTTGGAAGTACTTAAAATCTTCAGACTCTCTCAACTAAAACTCAGAGAGAATCTTCTCATTTTTAACTTTTTCCTCCTATTTCTCTACTCTGAAATAATTTTTTATACATTTCAAGAACAAAATCAAAAGGCAGTTGCCCAACGTACCCCAACACAGCAATTCACAGACTTCACTACGGAAAAAAAAAAACTTTTACACTCTAAGATCTATTTAATTTTTATAATAAAATTTGTTTCTCCAGTTCCTGCCTGTGAAATAAAATAATATTCACTGTTCTGCTCATTCCCCCTGGTTTCAAGTATCTAAAGAGTCATTCTTTCCACTGCAAGGAATTGAAAAAGTAGATGTATATGCCTGTAACTTGACAGAACAAGTTGCCTGCCTTCTTTTCCTCTGTATATACAAAAAAAATGATAATAATTAAACATATTAAGTAGATGGAATGTGGCACTTAGGCTCTCAAATTGAAAACTAAACTACTGTGATGGTGCCATTAATTTCTCGTATCAGTAAATTGAATTTTAGATTAGTCAGAAGTCTTCTCAATTGTTTAAAGAGAAGAAAGGCAAAATTATGAAAATACACAGAAACAATTATCCAAAAGATGGTACTTCAGTTTGAATGTACCAAATACCTATACAGATTCTATTTTATGAAGTCACTTACTTTCATGATCCTCTTTTATTAGTCTACTCATCTACAATATCAACTCTTCCCTTACTAAATTAATGTTCAAAGTAGCCCTTAGCCAAAGACTTCAGTTTCCAACTATAATTCAAAAATAGGGCTGCTTCAAACTGATTAAATACTATGTTTCCTCTTTAAAAAGTCTCTTCAGGCTCTTTTCAAGACAATACATATTTTAACAAATAGTTGACTTTTTGTACAAAAAAGGAGAGCTATTGAAATAGACTAGTAACTTGAAATTCACTTTTAACCTTACTGGAACTCACAATACCAATGTCTCCAGCATTCTCGAGAAGAGTGAAATGGAGGACTAAATGTATCGCTGACAGCTATCCCTACAGGGCTCCTCTCCAGAATGAGCATAGCCCACGTTGCAGAACAGCGAAAAGGCCCAGGTGGATTCCCCTCAGAGACAGGAAGATCCCCTTAGGATAAGTAACATTCCATGCACTCTCGACATCCTTCTGCACAAGGAACACGTTTCCTTATCTCCATTCCTGCAGTGATGTTGAGAAATACGCGTAGTATTACTAACACCGTAGGCTCAAACTGAAAACTCCCACATCTTCCACTGTCCAGAGATCATAGATTCACAAAATCAGCACTGTTGGAGGGGTGAGCTCAGGAGAATTCTGGGAACTAGAACCAATTTGCAGAGAATGACCCAGCCAAGGAGAAGAGAGGTAAGAAGAGAGTTGGCATTTTTATTCTCATCGAGGATTACCTTTAACCGTTATGAATGTGTGTTTATCAACCCATTCTCACATTCCTTCACTCAATTACGGTTGTTGGGCACCAACAGTGTGACAAGCCTTATGCGTTTAAATGAAAGGAAGTGAAGTAAGGGGAGTTGGGAGTGTCAGGAGTAGGGATGGAGGTAGGTTGCAATTTCTAGTGGAGTGATGAGGGTGGGCTTCACGGAGAGGATGATGTTTGAGCACAGATGTGAAGGAGGTGGGCTCTGACAAAAGTTAGACAACAGTATAATCACAAGCACAAGCACCTGCCTAGGACTGCTTCCATTTGGAAAGGAGCCACATAAAGTCCTGACACTGGAATTTGAGCAACAGAGCCAGATTTGCCGGCCAAAGCTGCTCATGACGCAAAAAAAAAAAAATAATAAGGAGCTCTCACATTTCCCCATATCCACTCCCTGTTTCTTTCCACTCCCAAAGAATATTTTCTTGACTTGTAAATATAGGAATTTAGGAGGCAGGAAATTCTTTGCATAAGACAGAAATCTCCCCAGTACAAAGACCAATATTAAGGCAATCACATAACACAGATGGGTTCTAGTTGTTTCTTCAGCATGGGTTCCCTGTCACTGGGCACTCTACCTCATCTCATTCTCTTTCTGTCAGAATCTAAAATCTTCAAATAGTCAATAAGATGGGAATGACCCCAAAGCAGGACTTGCTGCCTAATTCGTGGGGCCCAGTATAAAATGAAAATGTGGAGATCCTTGTTCAGAAAGCATTCAAAATAGCAAGACGGTGACATAAGAGTATTAAACCAAGTGCTGGGCCCTTCTGAGCATGATGCCCTGCATGAGTTCACAGGTCACATGCCCAAGAAGCCAGCCCTGTTTCTGTATTCCAGGCCAGCCATATATATCTTTCCCTATTTATTCTATCTGCACCAATGAGAGAGTGAAAACAAAAGCAAGCTAGCCTGGATCTTGACCAAAGGTGCACTTGAATGTGAGTTTAGATCATTTTATTGTTTAGAAATCTATGGACTTCTTAAAGTGCTAATGGCTGAAAGAATGAATCATGCACCATTGTTAACCAACATACCTCATGGTTAGGACATAGTTACAGCAGGAATAACTTCTAACTCATCATGAGCATCCAAAGACATTTGCCCAAAGATGGTACATGAAGATGTAGCAATCTCCTAAATAAATAAGCCCTGTGCCAGAATATTCAAACAATAA